GTATTAGTTATCTGAATAGTGCTGAACTATATGATCCAACAACGGGTGTGTGGACAACTACAGGAAACATGAATGCTGCACGAGGCTCGCATACAGCATTGATATTAGAAAATGGAAAAGTATTAGTTACTGGTGGATATAATGGTATTAGTTATCTGAGTAGTGCTGAACTATATGATCCAACAACGGGTGTTTGGACAACTACAGAAGACATGAATGCTGCACGAGGCTCGCATACAGCATCCATATTAGAAAATGGAAAAGTATTAGTTACTGGTGGATTAAACGATAATAGTATTCTTAATAGCTCTGAATTATATGATCCAACAACAGGCAATTGGATAACTACAGGAAACATGAATAATGCACGAAAATATCATACAGCATCCATATTAGGAGATGGAAAAGTATTAGTTACTGGTGGATATAATGGTAATTATCTCAAAAGTGCTGAACTATATTGATCGGAATCGCCTGAACGATATTTTGATTTTTTGAGTGAACTATAAATTTTAATGTTGTAATCAATCTATTTAATCATTTATGCTTTTTAAAATTATTTTTAACTAAATAAAATACAAGTCTCATTTATATTACGAAATACAATTTTAATGGTAGTTGTGAAGAAAGAAACACTTGATAAAAACACATATTATCGTCAGTAAAACAGAGTACATATTCTTTTGAAAACGAAGTAAATATAAACATAGATGTCAGATATTTTCATGGCTACCATTTTAGTGATCAATATCATAGATAAAACCAAGGTGGGAAAAGCGATTTATGATTTAAAATGATTTAAGTTTGATTTTTGTCTGATCTAAATCAGCTTTTCTCCCTTGTCATAAATGCTTTGCCTTATATCGCATTCAAAAGAGAAGAAAATTTGTGCAGGATTATATAAATACTGTGCTTCACACTGCATTATAATTAGAATAACAGTAAAGATGTTTATGACATGTTCTGATATTTATATCAATTGAAAAGTCTCGTTTTTTTTTCTGTAAAAATTTTCGACAAATATTTAACAACTATCAGTTTCATGAATCAGTTTGTTGTTGAGAAGTGTATCTAACAAAGAATTGTTTTTCTTATAGAATTTGTTTAATAGCACTTTATGTCATACAGATTACTTTCGCTTCATACAAGAAGAATCCATCGTTTTTATATAAATTATTATTAGTCAAATACAATAATATTTAACTTGTAATTTATTATCTCCATGCCATAACGAAGCTCTGTAATATTATTTTTTTTATGTTACTTATATTATAGCTTTTTCATTAATGGAAATGGTAAAAGAATAAAATAGAAATGACAGTTAAAATACGTTCTATTACTTGAAGAGGAAGTAAGATGATACTATAGGACATATATATTATCATATTTTTCTTTTATAGAATGTATATAAATGTAATGAAATGAAAAAGAAAAGTATATAAAATACTTTTATCAATATATGCAGAACATGATTATCTATATTTCTAGCACTATTTACAAATTAATCCTGACATTTTGTTAATTTTTTGATAGTTTAATGTCGGACATAGTTTAGAAAAATAATCATCAAGTAGATCTGTATTATATCAACGATATTAATTTGTTTCCTATTCTGTACGTACTGGATTTTTCAAGTAATAAATTTCATCTTGTCAAGCTTTGATATACTGACTGAACTCATCGTTTTTATAGGTAAGTTTTAAAAGAGATTATTTTATCATGTATGCACAAATTAAAACATTTTTCTTTGACAATGACAGGTGTTTCTTTTTTTCAGTGTTAATTTAAAAAATGCTTCATATATTAATAAGTACAGAATATCTCGGAGTCAAAAAATGAATCTTTTTTCTAATCTGGAAAAGACAAGATAAATTATTTTTCTTTTTTAGTTTTTTTTTCTAAGATAAAAAAATAAATTTATAAAAAGAATTAATTTAGAAATAAAGAAATTAGATGAAGATGAACGAAGAAATTGTTCAATATTGACAGCTATACGTTGATGTATAGTAGTTGTTAAATGGTAAGTATCAATAAAAATATATTGATTAGGAATTAAACATTGTGATATAACGATGTCATTGCTTATATTCCAACATGGATTAGTTTTATCTATAGCTGGTATTGAATTATTCGTAAGGATACTGATCATTAATGAATATAAATCGAATACTTTTATCGATGTTGTATTATACATAATATTAACTTGTGAAATATTTGATAGAAGATAACTATTATGATTAGTTACTACTGTATTTAAAGACAAGTTTTTATTTGTTTCACGACTAAATGGATAAGCCTGAAGTGGTGGTAGATTTAGTACTAAAATATGTTCTGCTCCAACAAGAGTTAAATCAGAAATTGCATTCATAAGACTAGCTACTACTAGATCTGAAGTTATACTTGAATTATCAAGGTAATCATTCATACCAGCCCAGATAACATAGAGTGTACGTGTTAAATCGACTTTCGTTATATCATTATTAGCTAGATAAGTAACAATCTGTTGACGAACTCCAGGTACAAGTGTTTTATTTGGTTGAGTATATCCAGCAATTAAGTTATCATTATCAATAGTAGCACCATTATAAGCATAATTTGAAATGTTTGGAATACCTAATTGTTCTATCCAAACAGGACCATTTGTAAAATGTCCTTGATAATAAGGAGGTACAAGAGGCCATTGATGATTTGTTAAATTATAAACATTTCCAGTATCTGTATTACCATCACCAAAATTTACAAGAGTATCGAATGGAAGTTTTTGGGTATTTAACAAGAGATTATTACATAAAATAATAATTAGATAAAATAAAATATAAAACATTTAAAATTGAAATAGTTTACAAATATTTGTATCGATCAGAAGAGAAGGTTGAAAAGTGACAATAAACAATGTTTCAATGTATTGAGATAGATATGCAATAAATTTCATGTGTCGACGTCTATATATATAAGAACGTATGTCAAAAAGAAAAAGAAACTTTTTTTGATTCTATAGTATATTTTCAATGAGGTTTAATCAAGCGTGAAGTCACCATCGAAGATAGGTATTGCGAATAAAAACCTTATATAGATAAAGGTTTGAAAAACAAAAAAAACATATGTCATAATTTTATCGATAACATAAATAGTGTTTTTGTGTCCGATGTGACTAATTTATTTTCAAAAAGATTCAAATCCTCGATATATATATATGAGTTTTATTCTATTAAAATATAACGTAGATTCTTTTTTTTACTTTGCATGATAACATCACTTTGTTTTAATATTTAAAAAGCTAGAGGGGTAATCCCTTGGAACATCCAAAGGTGCACTTTCATTAAGATAAAGACAATCCAACATAAAAGCTGATAAAAATAAGCATGCATGTCAGTTTTGTTCTATTTCAATTATCTAATACCACACTCGAATAAATCCATTATGATGATTAAAAAATAAGAAAGAGAATAGATTCTAAAAGAAAAAGAAGAAGAAGAAGAAAAAAGAAAGGCAGGCAGGCAATTTATATAATATAAATGCATATAACATTATAAGGAAGAGATAGAAATCATATATGAGCAAAATATTGTTATATTTATGAAATATCATTTTGTAATTCTAAGTAGAAAAATAAGTGAGTGTTATCTATTGATTAGTAAAGAAAATTAGATAATTAGATTTCTAAAAATAGATAAAATGAATATTGTAGAAAAAACTAATTCAGTTTATCGATTATGATAGAAAAAAAATGTTTCGAGATCGATGTCGTTATTAGTATATCATTCTTAGAAGATCATAAATCAGTTATAGTAAAGCCGCTTGTTATTTCCTCTTGAGTCTATGTCTGACAACGTAGTCTATAATAAATTTATTCTTAGAACGCATTATAGAATGAATTCCTTTTACTTCACGATGAACTTGAGTATAAATTAATAATAGATCAAAAGTTATTTTATATTCATGTTCTGAATAGTCTCGTTCTCATCTATTGTCATAGCTTTAATATAAACTTTTTTTTATATTTTATAATATAGAAAAATCTATTTAAATATTTAATATTGTAGAATTAACTTGTTCATTTTCTTTTTAAAATGATAATGAACAATAAAACTGATTGTGAAATTGTTATATGGTCTCAACAAGCTACTAAAATTGTTAAACCCATATTTTATATATGTATTCTTGCTACAATTATTCATCTTTTATTTTGGATTCAATTTATTATATATCCAACAGTTCGTCAACGTTCAATGCAATGGCTTTATGCATATTTAGTAACTGATTTACTTTTACTTACTCGATTCTTTGTATTTTATGCTTATCGTTGGTGGTCAATGTGTGTACCTTATTTTCTTCGTACTATTATGTGTTATTGTGAAGCAATCTTTGACAATTATCTTAATCTTATACAAAGTTATATTCTTTTAGCATTAAATATTTGTCGTTATTTACAAATCGTATATAATCATAATGTCTATGCTTTAAATCATCGATGTATTATTATTGCTCATATTCTTATTTATTTCTTACCTCTCATAAGTCATATTATTCTAATTAAGGGTGGATGGTCAAATCTTGATGATCCAAAAGATGATGCATGTGATCTTCTACCTACTTCATTATCTATTCGACTTGTATTTCTTTTATTTTCATATGTTATACCAGTTACTCTTGCATTAATCTTTCTTTTACTTAGTCTTAGTCATATTCATAATACAGATGGTATTCAAACACAACAAATAGTTGATGCACGATTAAAATATCATCGACAATTAATTATACAATCAAGTGTATTCTATTCTGTATGGTTAATATTATGGTCGCCGCATTTACTCGTATTTCCATTTTACCATAAGAGTACGACTATTGGAAGTATTGCACAAATTTTAAACTATATTAATATAACAGTTGATCCAATAGTTATAGCTGCACTTGATATAAGATTTTTACATAGTTGGACATGGCCAGGTAATTTTATTGATAGACGAACAAGACGACAACGATCAGTACCTGTTCCAGTGATAATGCTTTCAGGTCCATCGGATGAAATAATTGAACATAGTTCGAATTCAATGTAATTCTATGATTATATAAAAGAAAATTCAATTAAGAACGTAAATTTTTAATGAATTACTGTTAATTCCAATAGATTTCGATGAAATCTGTTGAATATTGTTTAAATATGTAATTTTAATAGACTAATTAGAATCTTTATTTTAATAAAATGATTTATGTAAAATAGTTTTGATCATTATTCAATTTTAGACTAGAAAAATTCATATAGATCTTATTTTTTTCATTCTCAATTCATCAATATTTTCTCAACATTGTTATAGGTTTGTTAATTAATTTTACATTGACAGTGACATTTGTTTTTCGACCACTTGTAGCAGCAAGTATATCCATTCACAATTCTTTTTTACTTGTAAGAGATGATAGAATTTTTAATTATGTTTTTGCTTCAACGAAAAAATACAATCAAACAGATTATATTCTATCATAGTGTGCAATAGAATATACAAAACATAATAATCGGAAACGGAAGTAGACGTATTAATTATCGCTATAGATGCACATTTACTTGTACTTTTTCTGACTATACTCTATTAACTTTAATATCAAGCGAATCAATCATATTACAAAACTTACAGTATTGTTCTCTCTTTATCACTGACATAGTATGACTGAAAATTCCAAGTTATTAACTCTCTATCAAATATAATGAAATTATGCAATAATAATATTCTATTTAGTATGTAAAAGCTAATAGTTGACGATAATATTGTAATTGATATTGACTTTCTATTTATTGGATATAAACCAGATAGAAATTACTTATTTCTTAATCTAATTTCATAGCCTTTTGTTGTTGTTTTTTATTTGATACATGCAAATTCTATTAAAGAACGATTATCTGCTAAATTCTCAATGTAATAATTTGAAAATAGAGCATAAATGTACGAGAAATAAATTGCATTATTGCTTACTTCAATATTTTAATTACAGACGTATAAGTTTAAATTAGATCTTTGAGATGAACTTATTCTATTTTGTATATTAAACATATCAATATGATTTAATCCTATAAATTTCGTTCAAATCGTTTTCTCACTTGATATGTTATTCATAAACATATATGTATCTTTTGCGTAATAAATAGATTATATATGTATTCTTGCTACAATCAATCGTCTTTTGTTTTGGATTCAGTTTATTATATATCCATCAATTCATCAACGTTCAATACAATGGTTTTATGTTTATTTAGTGACTGATTTACTTTTACATATTTGCGTAAATATTTTATTTAAACTTTTCCGATCTTCATAACGTTATTCAATATTACTATATTACACTCGATGAATCTCGCGATTCGTTAAAAATTTAATAGATGATTTTATAAAAAACACGTTGATGAATTATTAACAGTGTAGAATGACATTTTCTGTATTAATATTGACAAAACATGTATATAATATTCTTTTTTTAATGAAACTAGACGAGGTCGATGTGATATATTTATAATAATTTGAATAAAGGAAGTTACATTTACCAATCAATATCATGTTTAACACGTTCACTGTCCCATGCATCGTATGTGATTCACGATACTTTGGAATGAGACGTCCCGTGCATCACATATGATGCATGCGCTGCATATGATATTTGAAGCAAGAATTTTCTAAACGTAACCAGCTGACTGCATTTGGAGTATTGGAATGTATCGGAACTATGTAAAAAAGTGTTCTAGTTTTAGGTTGAATCACATATGATGCGCTGGTCGTAATAAAATTTTAAAAAACATAGCGTTTAGCTTTTATTTGAGAGAAAAAAAGTGAATGCTCAACTTCAGAAGTTTTTGTTAGAAAAAAGTATTTCAATACAAATACGAACTTCAACTCGGACTTTTTTTTGTAAAAGTGTATATTTCCTGTGATGAATATAATTTCTTAACATAAAACATGATGATTTTCTAATAATGGCAGCTGTTGTCTAAAAAAAGACACCATAATTACTTTGGTTAGAGCGTTATTTTGACAGATAAGTCAACAGTTAGATGTAGAAAAATGAGAAGTATTCAAATTTATTTTAAAATAAGTTTATCATATATAAATTCTATCATATTCTCCGTTGGAAGAACATTATCATACCGAAAAAATTGCGAAATTTAGTTTCAAAAAAGATAGTTTATTTCTGTTAGATCAAATATACTAAAGAATAAAACGAAAAATCATTGCCATTGTAAATAAATATTTTCGCCGTCACGTTGAATTCTGTAATTAACAAGTAATTCTTCCGAATCAATCATGTTTTCGAATTTTTTTATCATTTCATTATCAGCTGTTGGAATATGAAAACACAATACACGAAGATGTTCATTCAATTTACAATCAATTTTCTTCAAAATATTTCGTACAAAACTTTCAGCATTGTTCTTATATGCATAATCTATTCTAAGATATACCATCGAAGGACAAAGTTTCATAAGAAAATCAATATCTTCAATTTTAATCATCTTCTTCAAATAAACATATTTAATTTGACTTGTATTTTTCCTTGAAGAAAGAATATCAATTTCTTTTAAAGATAATCCTCTAGGTTTATTGAATGATAAAGAAAGAAGTTTTAGCGATATGAGTTGAGGTAATACATCAAGTATTTGAATTAATAACCCAATAAAAATCGTATCATAGGGAATTTCAACATGATAGAATAGTGAAACAGATAAAACATAATGAATTGTCACGATTAGTACTTCATAATTGTCTTTATAAAACATATTATATATATGGAGATTTAATTGATTAGATTGAGAATGTTTAACAGAAGAATTAATAATTTTATCTTGTGTATCTTCATACCATCGTTTTCTAAAAATGATAAGATGGTTAGTATAATATAAGATCGTTTTTTAATTGACGTACTTCAATGGTTGAATTGAATACATAATTAATCCATCTTCGATTCTAGTACTAACTATCATTTGTCGCTCGATCCAAAATGATGAATTGAATTGAATTGGTTCTTCTATATATGGAGACGGATTTAAAGAATGCCCCACATGTACATAAACTTCTAAGGAAAATTTTTTCAATTTAGGTAAATATTTTATAATTAAGTTTTCCCATTGATCACTATCAAGATAAGAACTATCTTTATAATCCGCACAAACATATAAAACTTTTAATTTGGAATTCATTCCTCTAATAAATGTTTCAAATGCATCAAATAATAAATGATGAATACGTATACGTAAATATGTCAAATTTGGTAATGGTAGAGGTAATATGGTTTCATAACTCAGAGCAATATTGTATGTATCTGAAAAATCTAATCGACGAAGTTGGGGTGTATAAGATATGATACTCGAAAGTTGTTCAAAAGTACAACAATGACGCATAACCATATATTCAATAGTACTAAATTGTTTATGAGTAGTCGATAACAATGAAGTCGATGTATCTACATCATTTGTTGTGTACTTAAAATATTTCAATAAAGGTAAAGTGAAAACCATTTGATAAATATTCGTTAGATCTTTCGAATGATCCTTTATGTTGTGGATAGTTAATGAAAAAAGATGTGGTAGACAAGGTAACTCGATAAGAAGTGACATAATTTGCTCTGAAGGCATTCCTTCAAGAACAAGTGATTCGAGACGAGAAAATGTTGAGTTGATAGTAAATTCTGCACAAAGTTGTTCTGTACGTGATGGAAGCCACATATGAATCGAAAATATTTGTTGTTTATTTAAAACTATAAATTGTTTCCATTTATTCATATGTTTTTTTTTTGACAATGCATGAAATCTAATTTTAAGTAGACAACATGAAGATTTAACGAGTTGTTGAAAACGTTCATTAAGATTTAAAAATGCATGATAGACGTGACAACCATCAAGATAATCGAATATCATATAGAATATTTCATTAGATAAATTTTCAATCAAAGTACTAAATGATAATATTTATATAAATAATAATATAATCTTGTTTTGTCTAACTTACGTTTGTACATCAGTACCGATCTTATCTTGCGGAAATATTATAGGTTGATAATAAAATCGATTAAAACGGAAATCTTGTTTGATTTGATTCATCTTGCTGTAAGCGAATAAATGAGATATTTATACATTCATTTATTACGTATAAATCATATCATATTTTCTTTCTTTCTTTTCGCTTCTTTGCCATTCAAGTGGTATTTTCTTTTCATTCTCCTCTACTCGTTTTTCCTTTTATACGTCACATATATATATCAGCTTGTACGTATAACATGTCACTTCAGTAACGTGAGTTTCAAATCAATAATTTCAAAACCTATCATCACTGTGTCGTAGAGAATAGTTCAAAACATAGAACGTGATTTTGTAATATGAGTTCATACAGAAAATCGTGAACAGTGGCAAAGATGTTACTATCAGATGGCGAAAAAGTCGTATATATGATCTGTCGGTTACATGTATCCTTGAGGGTGGGTGTGGGTGTACGATAAAAACAACACCATCACCTCTGATCAATATTGATAATTAGAACACAATTTACATTTACTCAATATTTACATAAACATTGAGTCTAGTATTAATAAATATAGTCTGAAGGTGACAAATGAGTTGAATTTGTCGAAATGTAACTTTTAAAAAAGAAAAAAGGTAATAAAAAACCATTTTTCATATTGGTGTTATTATAATTTATAGCTACAGCGATCTATAGATATTTTTAAGAATTTTTATCGTGTAAAATTAAGAAATATTTAAGTTTATTATAATGAAACATTTTCAAGGAATATTTTAATACAAAATCAAACAATATATGAGATTTTATTTCTGATAAATTTAGTGCATTTAATTTCACCGTAACAACAGCAATATCGTAGTGAAAGTCGAAATAATTCAACCAAATACAAAATAACAACTAAATGTTATAAGAATATGTTATTAATGTATGTCTATAAGTTTAAACTATCATTATATGCTAATATCAATAGTCATATATAATTTTTTTTGTGGAAGAAGAATTAATATTAATGAATATATACCGGAAATAGATATGTGAAAAGACATATCACGCACGAGAACTTTCGCATGATTCAAGAATCAAAGGAAAAATTCTGCTTTATAAATTATATAACATTTAAAAATATTCTCGTTATTAATTAGAGGCACTTATAATATAAGAAAAATGAGTAACGAAACTAGCTGCATAGTTGTAGTATTGTCTGGACGAGTGTCTAGTACAATGAAACCCCTATTTTACATATATATTGTAGCAGCAATTATTCATTTACTCTTTTGGTTGAATCTTATTCCATATCCAACAGTACGACAACGTTCAATGCAATGGCTTTATACTTATTTAGCAATTGATGTTCTTCTTCTCATTCGTGTTTTTTCAATCTATGCTTATCAATGGCGATCAATGTGTGTACCTCATTTTCTTCGTACTATTATGTGTTATTATGAAGCAATTATTGATAATTATCTCAATGTTTTACAAAGTTATATTATTTTAGCATTAAATATTTGTCGTTATTTACAAATTACTGACAATCGTGATATTTATGTAATAAGACATCGTACAATTATTATTAGTCATTTTCTTATTTATATTTTACCAATTTTATGTTATATTATCGCAATATTATGTCATTGGTTAATTGTCTTTAAACCACAAAATGATATATGTGATCTTGAATTAACATCAGCAGTTGTTCAAATCTTATTTCTATTATTTTCTTATTTCATACCACTTGTGTTTACCTCAATTTTTCTTTTTCTTAGTCTTAGACATATTCGAAATACGAATGGTATTCGAACTCAACAAATAATCGAAGCACGATTAAAATATCATCGACAATTAATTATACAATCAGGTGCATTCTATTCTGTATGGTTAATATTATGGTCGCCGTATTTACTCTTGTTTCCATTCTATTACCGACATAGTACACAGGGTACTATAACTGAGATTTTTATTTGTATTGGTATAGTACTTGATCCATTTATAGTCGCTGCACTTGATATTAGATTTTTACGAGCATGGCATTCTACTTGGAATCATTTAATTGAATGTGTAAGACCAGTGCGTGTTGCACCGATGCCAGTAGCTATTGCACCCAATTATTAATTAAGAAACAGCGGAAATAAATGTTGAAATATATCTATTTCGAACTTAAATTGACACTATAATAAATAATGAACATATTTTTTTGTATATTTTATTCCAATTAAATCAAATTTTATTATCTTAATAAATGAATATCTTATATTTCTTGAATATAATTAACAAGTCTCTTTTTATTTTTATTTAAACAAACATACAATTATATAGAGAGTGAAAAATGTTTTTTTATGTTTTTAAACTAATATCTCGACTACGATATGTTCGACCATTTTGAGCCATTTCACGTTGGAGGCGTTTTGGTAATGTACCAGTAACTGAAACAGCATACATTCCTTTAACTTGATGTGATATACGTTGCCATTTAGCCACCCATGATTCTTCTTGGTGCATTAATGCAATCATGCCTTCAAAATTACTTGAAGTACATTCATAAACACGTTCACGATTACCCTTCATTGATAAAAAATCTTCGCAGTTATCACAACCTTGGTCTTCAAACATCGTAATATTCTTAATTAATGAACACACTAAACAAGCACGTAAATTACGTAAATCATTTGGTATACGACGACTTTCTTCGTTCATCTACAATTTAAAAGAGAGAAAAAAACAATTTATTATTAATGATTAGTCTGTTCATTAGAGAATATATGGCAAAAATTATCTGACCATATTCATTTAGGTTCAAAAAAGCAAAACAAAACTCGATATATAAAAAAAAAACAAAACCATAATTCACTCAAAAACAAATTGCTAAGATCGTCACAGCAGCAGCACAACAACATGCACAATATAATTGCATAAAAAAACGAGATCCAATAAAACAGTAATTTAAAAAGAAAAGAAAAACTATTCAAAACTAAAAGATACAATAATGTATTTTATTTATTCTAAAATTCTGCAAGGTACTGTATTAAAATCAATAAAATATGGATTATACAAAAATTGATTACGCAACTAAAAGAAAAATAATTATTTAAAGAAAATTTAATAAATATTTATGAGGAAGTAGCTGTTGGCCGAATGACTTTTCGTCGAAAATTACTAGAGCAGTAACACTTACTATTTATTCTTCCATAGTCTATATATATAGATTATGGAAGAATAAATAGTAAGTATTACTATTCTAGTAACTGTCGACAAAATATTTTTCGACGAAATGTCATTCGACCAACGGCGCTCTACTGATATTTAACATACCTGATGAATTACCATCGAATTGAGCAAGAGTTGCACGTAATTCTTGTAATTCACTACCAATAAAATCATAAACAAGCGCATGAGACGTATTGTTTTGATGACGTAATTTTGGTGGTAATGGTGGTCGATATTCATCATCATCTTCTTCCTTAGATGGTAATTGATAATGATCATCTGTATATTTTTTTGTTAATGAAGCTTTATTCATTGGTTTATGTTGTTTAGGCATAAGTATTGGTACATCATCATCTGGTATTTGTATTTTCTTAGGTGATGAAATTGTGTTTTCGTCGACATTTACATAATTATTTTTCTTTTGTGTATTATTTGATGAAATTTCAGTTTTTTTAAATTTCTTTTTTTCATCGATTGGAACATTATCATAACCAGCTAATGGAGTTTGTTCTTCATTATCTGATAATGATTCATTTGTTTCAGTTTTTGGTATAGGACGAAACACATCTTGTGATTGAGTCTAAAAGATTTTTTATTTTTAAAAAAAAAGCAAAAATAAATAATAAAAATCTTACTTTTTTAGTTTTTTGATCTTGACGATTTAATGAATGATGTTTAGTGGATAATAATTGATCAGATTGATGAATTGGTGCATCAGTACTACTTTAAAAAAGAAAAGATATTATCTAGTATTTTATATATACAAAAGATATTTTACAATGATTTTGATCGATCAATAGTAAGATAACGTTCTTTACGTTTAAGTTCATTTTTACCAACTTTAAGTTTAATAAATTCAAAAAATGCTTTCAAATCTTCAAATGGTGTGACCTATTGAAAATATATATGCATCTATTTTTTTATGTTACTTTTTTTTAATCATACTTGTTTACAATATTCTTCAATTGGATGAGATCCATCATGTTTACTTGCATGATCACCTGTAAAAAAACATGTTTGACACAGATCATAATTAAAACATCGAAGACATCGATAACTATTTACAACAAAAAAAACTAAATAAATAAATAGAAATTATTCTATTTTACCGCATGCCAACAACTGGATATGCTTTACAAGTATTACATTGTGCTTCATGACGAACTAAAAACAAGTCAATTTCATTAAATTTAGAAAAATAAGACAGTTCTTTACAGACTTGATTCAGTTGCCATTAAACGATGTAATGTTGGTAACCATACTAATGTCTGTGGTTCACGACCCATCCAACTAACAAATATATCTTCACGAATAATACCATCATGTGTCTATAAAAACAAACAATTTCCAAAATCTTATACCTTCGAAATTATTTCAATGAAAATATTAGTCATTTTATTTATATAACAAATTATTAGAGAAAGAAAAACAAAGAAATTATTTTGTAGTTTTATACGTTAGAAATAATATACATGCAACATTACTTAATTCTCGTTTATCTATAGTAGCTTTTTTTTATGAAAATTCAGCTCACTTGATATACATATTTTATTACTAAATGACAAAAAAGAAAATCTTAGAAGAACTATTCAAAATATTTGCTTCGAACTAAAACTATGTTGATCTTAAATTCATCCCTAATTACGAACTTTGATTAAATTTATTCTTACATGATCAAGACAACTTTGAACACAAGCAGGTATATTATCCATATAAAATGAATCGACATCATCAAAATAATTAGGTAACTAAAATAAAATGAAATTTAGAATTTCGATGAAATTTTTTTATTTGTATTACTTTGAGAAGTATTTGAAAAAGCTCCGTTAATTTAATTTGTGATGCAATTACATTTGGTGATGTTATTTGTCGAAAAAAACCTATGAGATCAATAAAAAATAAAATAATTTTTCATTTGATTCTACATACATCGATATTTTTCTGGTAATTTTGCATTTGATAATGCAAAAAGAATTATTTTAAATGCATTCAAATCGAAATCTTCATCTGATGTTCTAAAAAGAAAAGGATTTTCTTATAAAAATAAAAAAAACAAAATTTCACTTACACATTGAAAATTTCACATAAAAATATCAATAATGTTTCAACAGTTTCATCAATACTGTATTGATTAAAATGGTACGATGAAATTAATTGATAAATAGCTGTTAAAACTTTTCGTGCATTATTAAATGATATTATTCTTATTTCAACACCAAATTGTATTTGATGTGTATTAAATGTTCGTACAAGAGCATTATAATCAATATGATTTACTAAAAAAAACGAAATTTAATTCTATTATTATTATTCATATGAATATATACATTTTAAATATTTTTGTAATACACGAAGTTTACAAGCAACACGATAAGCAGCGAATTTTATTGTTGATAAGATTTCTAGAATAAAATTATTTCATGTCATTGAATGTATAAGTATGATGTATATTTACCTAGTTTTCGATTAATTATATCATATAATTTTTCATTTGAACTAAAAGAGAAATATTTTTCTGATAAGAAAATAAGAAAAAGGATTTACTTTTTTTCAATGTTATCGGCTGTTGTCATTATTTCAATGACGAGATTAAATGTAATCTGTATTGATTAGTGTTATATATTTGTTTATTTATTTACGGTGTATGAAATCGATATGATTAGTTAGAATTCAAACACGATTAGAATAATTATTTAATAAATGAAGTGTTTTTTTTTATTATTATAGAAAAATGATAGTTGAATTATTTTGTTTCTAATATATTTAAAGATTTTATCAAGCGACATCTAACGTCGAGTGTCGTTGCTTAGAAATGAACGTTCGTTGACGAATATCAATGATATATTTTGGAAATTTTGTTATTTTATTTCGAGAAAAATAATTTAAGTAACAAAGATGAATACTGCACCGTATCGTGAAACGCCGGGTTCTGTAACCCTTCAATCGACTAGAACTATGGAATATAGTCGACCTGTATTAACAAATATTTGGTTAGTATATCTATTTATCAATTAAAAAATTTTATCGTTTTCGTTTTAGGCATCAAAAACGTGAAGCAGAACCAAAAGATAATGATATTAATAAATTACCAGTTCGAAATATGCATATATCAACTTACAAACAACTTGCAACCGATGGAGAGACAAGTTTACCTAATACAACAACAAAGGATCAACAAGAACAACCATTTCGTGAACGTGCATGGTATACTGAACAAGAATATCCTCGTAAAATGATCGATCAATATAATATTAATGTTGCAAATGCTAGTTTGAATGGGTTTGTTATAGAAAAAAAACTTTATTTATTCTCTTTCTCGTAGAGAAGAGTCCAGTAAACATAAATTGTTTGTTTGCTTGCTTGTGTGTCCGCAGGGTCAAAAAAACATCGAAGACCAATCTTTCAGTAAAGACATTCCTAGAGGTATTTCGAATCTGATGTTAGTTTTTGCAACTTATATAAGCAAAAAGTCCCGTAGTATTGTTGAACACCATTTCTACGAGAAAGAGCTAAACAAACCCTTAGACGAGCGTTATTTGTTATTTAATCAATTTTTCTTTAGATTACTTTTAAAAGCAGATCCACAATTATCTGGTAAAGTATTACCAACACGAACTTCATCTATGCATGAATCAGCCACATTAGAAACAACATATCATGCTGATTATCTTCCACCATATCCATATGAAATGAAAACTGTTACTCATTCAGAATATTCCGATAAAGTATATAAATCAAATTCCTAATAAATATTATACATATATCTATCTATTTCTATAGAGTTATCCAAAATATCCAGATAAATCATGGGGTCATCGAAGAATGGTTTCACATTTTACTGATTTAGATCAGCCCAAACGAAGTGGTATTAATACATTTCATGTTCAACATGCACAATATGAAAATGAACAATTACGTAGAGAATTAGGACATTTTAAACCTTCCCAAATTTTATAATTTTATATATACACACACTTTTTTTTTCTTCTTTTGAATAAAAACCGAAACGAATAAACTTTTTAACGTAACAACATAAGTTAATATTCTCATACTTTAATTTGAAATAGAAAAAAGATAAAATGACCTCGAATTTCACATAAAGTATTTGCATATAATATACAATGATGGATGAGTAGTAGTAATTCATACATATACATACATATATATCAAACATCGTTTATTTACTTGGCCTTTGTTTTTGACATCAATACGACTACCATTTGTACACATAAATTTCTCCGATTTATTGTCTCACGTATTCGATGAGAGAATCTTATTTATTCTTTCGTCTCTCATTGTTCAATATTTGTATAAATCAAATATATCTTCTTTCACTCTCTTACAAATGCTCGATTTTTTAAATTCTCATTATTTTTTACATTGAAATCAAAGTAAAGAGAATCTACATATTTTTTTTTTATAATATAAGTGTCTGTCTACTCCTATCTCTTTTACTATTAACAAAAAATGATGTATTTCACTATTGCAGACAGTAATGGTAATTTACTTTATATAAAGGTATGTCTTGCACTTTTGAATTAACTAAAGTATGCCTTTTTCTCTTTTTCTCTGTTGAAATTGGATCCACACACACACACATAGTCATAATAGACAGAGTAACAGCAACAGAATGAGAAAAACTACAATACGGCTCGTCAATATAGCAATAGAAAAATGAAAAAAGAAAAATCTTCACCTTCTTCTTCTTCCTCGTCGTCTTTTTTTTTTATTTTACTTTTTCTCTCTTACTCTCTTCAGTGTTCGTTGCATTCTCCGTTTTTTTTTGTTGAAGATAATAAAATCGACTTGGTTCCAAGTTTATTCTCTTTTCTTTTATGTTCTCATTTTTCCGCCTTGTTCTATATGTCACCATGATTAAATGATAACATGGGTCAATAGCAGCAGACAGTACAGACACCGCAAGCAACCGAATCAACTTAATTTTTGTCATTCAAATTGATTGTAAGTAAAGAATTTCTATTTATAATAGGATACCATTGAAAAGTCTTATCTACATGAGTATACATATTTTTCGTTTTCGTATTATGATCTACTTGACAATCAGATCGATTATGCAAATTAACGATAAGCTCAAGTGTGTTTTTTTATTGAAAAAAAAAAGTAACGATAAATCATGAATATCTTATTTCAATTGTCCCATATCTAATATTCATTAGTTTGAACAGATTGAATTCATTTGACTTGTCTGATACTATTATTAGAAAGATTTATGTTATACATGAAGATATTAGATATTATTAATAATGTATACGTTTATTTTTAAGATAAAGAAAGAAAAATCTTTAATGTAAAAATAACAATAGTGACCAACATAAATCACGGAAACTGAATAGTAGACAAACCTATACTCTCATCGTTTTCAGAGAATAATTATTTCCTCTTTTCTTTGTTTCATCCTTTTTTTCTCTCTCTCTCTCTTCTTTACATCATCATCATCATCATCTCGTGTTCTCAAACTCTTCTTTTTTGTCATCAAATATAGACATATACAAACTCTCGTTGTCATCACTCATAGCTCATGACATTTCCATGCTCTTCTTTAGTATTTTAATGAAGTAAACTGTTAAACGAGAAAAAAAGACAAGTTTTCTTTCTTTTTTTTTTTTTTTTTTTAAATATTTTTTCTTCATCATTTTCTTTTTCTCACGCTCTCTTTTCATATACTTTTTTCCTGTTTATTCATCATTCTTTTATCTTAGTTTTATATATATTTAAAAAGCATTGACATATAGTAGTGGTAGTTAATAACTAGAAAACACAATAGTTATATTTAATGGTGAGTACAAAATGAATATTATATTTTTATGAGAAACGCTCCTTTTATGTTTGTTTTTGTATCAACAACAAAAAAACCCTAGAACATGTGAATAAACGATGAAATAAGAGCCGATTTCCGAGCACATATTGAATACTGATTGTAAACGTCTCAATATGTCCAGTACATTTATATGTGTGTACATGACCTTTATTTGAACATCGATATATAAACGACGAAGTAAATTATTTCGTTCTCATATATGGATATACATTAAATGACGATATATATTATTGTTATCAATATTTAATTTATTATGAGAAAAAAAAGAAAACAATATGTAAACAAAACGATAATAAGTTTTACATATATACTCAACATTTTTCGTGTCCTATAGCTGTCGGCATAGTATTTTATGATTAGAAGTTTATTCTGTTCTGTTCTTAATCTTGATGAGAGAGAGAGAGAGAGAGAAATCGAAGAAAAATACTCGAGAATACTTTTTTACACAATCATAAAATAAGACAGAATGTAATGGAGAGAATGAGAGATTTGTATTTACAAATCTGAAAATGAGTAACACGAGAGGGTGAGTGAGTGACTGAGAGAGAAATAAAATGACAGGTGAATATGTTCTTTCGTTTCTTTCTCATCGCTGCGTTGTCACCAATAATATCAGAAGTATATAAATATATATATATATATATATGTGAGTAAAAAAAGCGAGAGAATGTGCGAGACATAAAAAAACTTATTAACAACGACAAGAAGAACAAATTTCTCGATTTTTTTTTCTCCTTTGGACAAATCAATTTCTACTTCATTATGTCGCAATCAGCGACACTTATTCGAGTAGCTAAACATGCACTTGATGGAACTACTATTTATCCTCATAACGGACAAAATACAATCTATTATCAACCTTTTGATTTATCAGCAACACCAACGAAATATTTAGCTTATACTATGCAGCAGCAGCAGCAACCCCGTGAACAATTCATTCCATTGGCAAGTCATCTCCTTGATGAATATTGTTCGCATTTATATTTGTATTTCATTCGTGATTGAGAAGGGGAGAAGAAAAGATGCATTTGACAGTTTTCGCGCAGAGCAGCGAACCAATTCTCTCTCTCTCTCTATTTTTCTCTGTGTCCCATATTTGTTCTGTTTAACTAGAACGGAAGCCGAAATGCAAAGAAGCAATGAAAGAAAGAGAATAATCTTCTAACAAACGAATGGACATTGTCCCTTAATCCTAGAACAATCAAATTTTATTTCTTCGTTTTTCTTTTTCTTT